GTTGAATATCATATACAATGAACTCTATCACAAGCTTTGTTAATTCCTGTTGCTTTTCAGGTGAAAGAGAAGGTAGGTCTAGATCTGAGTTTATTTCTTGATTAGTTATTATTATAGGCTATTAAAAATAAAATAAAAAAAATAAAAAAATAAAAAATAAAAAAATAAAAAAAATAAAAAATAAAAAAAATAAAATAAAAAAAATAAAAAATAAAAAAATAAAAAAAATAAAATAAAAAAAAAAAAAATAAAAAAATAAAAAAAAAATAAAAAATAAATTAGGCTATTTGAAATTGTATTATTTTATTTAAAAACAATTTTATTTCATTATTATCATCGAGGTATCTTCTATAATTTTTTGAATTTATATGATTTTTGTTACGTAAATACGTGAGCAAATGCCCCTTACTTTTTCCTGATTTGTTATATGGTATGGACTAGCCTGAATTCCATCAACTTCATCTAATTCCTCTAATTCCCGAATACAAATTTTACAATATGTAATCGTATTATTATTTTGATTATCCTTAAAAAAAAATCGGGTAAAAGTAGTATTTGCCCTTGTCTTTGGTAAGTTGCTAGAAGCAACTGATGAGGTTGATGGAGCATATTGAATTGATTGAGTGTTAGTGATGTTAGTGATATTAGTGGTATTAGCGGTATTAGCAGTATTAGTTTTAGTGGTTCACCTTTTTTTCCTACTAGAATTAAGCATCATTGAAATAGAATTTTAAAACAGAACTTCAATAAACTCAAAATTGGCAAAACTAACTATTTAATATATTTTTTTTTAAAAAAAAAAATATTGATATTGTTATTGATACCAGTCATACTCTAAATGCATGTTCTCAAAGTACAAATTTTATTCTAAATACAAAAAAGCTTTACAGTCATACTCCTCTCAAATTTTATTATAAACCCCTATAAGCCTTTATGGTCATACTCCTCTAAATACAAATTTGTAAGATGCAATTTTATTAGAAGTTTTCACAGTCATACAACTATACACATTCTCAAGTTGCAAATTTATTATAAACCCATAAGCTTTTATAGTCATACTCCTCAAATACAAATTACAATTTTATTATAAACTCCCACAAGCTTTTACAGATATAAATCATACTTTTAAATATCAACTATAAATTTTGTGAACCAAAAAAAAACTGATTTTCTCAAATGTGTTTAATTATTTAAGGAGTCAATATATGGTCATACTCTTCTAAGTGCACAATTCCCCACATCTTACTTGGTTCTGGCTAATATAACTTTCATTAACCTGACCTCCTAAAATACATGGTTTAGATTTCTTATTTGGTTCTTCCTGGTAATGTACTTAAGGAGGCTTGACTATATTGACTGTATTGATAATATTTAATAAGAAAGTCAAAAAAATTGGTATATTAATATTAATCACATATAGTTGCCCTCTAATACAAATATCTTATTGAGCATTAAACAAAAAATAATACTTTAATAAACCTACAATTAGCGATTAATAGTACCAGGACAGATCAAGGATTTAAGAAGATCTAAAATTCTAAGATTTAGTAATTTAGAATATATCAAAAGTGCTAAAAAATTAGAACTGTAAAAAAAAATTCTTAAATAAATAAAAAAACTTTTACCAACGCATGTTTGCTTGACAATCTACAAGCTTTAGATCAAGAGGACTATAAATTTGTCATTAACACAAAGCTACTATATTAAATTTATTTAATATATCAAAAATATACTCTATTCATATCTATTAGACCTAGACTTATTTTTAACTTAGTTTCTAAAAAATTTAGTTTTTATAAACTATTTAATATCTCTATTTTATACTTTCATTTGATTGGGTTGTAGATAATTTGAAATATATTAATTATAATATATATAAGCTAATTCTTCTATATGCTAAATCTTTTAATAATTATTGGTGATTTCTTACTTTAGAATTTATAAAAACAGTTATATATCAAATATAAACTAGTTCATAATTGACTTAGAGAATATTAATATTTACTATGAACTAGTTTATGATTAACTCTGAGTTATTATAAACTAGTTCACAATTAACTCTAAAAAGATTAATATTAATTATGAACTAGTTTATGATTGACTTTGAGAACATTAATATCAACTATGAAGTTAATAGAAGATAGAATAAAATATTAATTTATATGATAAAGTTAGCTTTAGAACTATATATAATCATATAATTTTGCAGTTTTTAAGAATCTAATAGTTAAAATCATTAGATTTACTATAAAAAACTATTTTTAAACTAGTTTTTTATTATTACTTAAACTAATTCTCATAATAAAGAATTGGTTAAACTGTTTTTGAAATAAAACTATAGTTTATTTGAACTAGTTACAAATAAATTTTAGAATTATAGTTTATATATTATATAAAACTTATTTACTAGTTAAACTAATTTAAACTAAACTATAACCTTAAAACTTGTTTTTAAAATATAGTTTTGAAAATATTTTAGAACTGTAATATAAGCTATGACTAAACTAAATTTAACTAATTTATTTTAATCTTAAACTAGTTTATAGTTTATTATAGTTCTTTAGTTTAGACTAGAGCAGATAATATTTTTGTATTGAATATAACTAAATTATATTTTGATTTAAATTACAATTTCTTGTAAAATATATATATACTATATTATTTTAATATATTAATATAACTATACTATATCAAAACTATATTATATATAGTAATCTTATAATATTATATAATATTTTGGCTATCTCAAATATCTCTCTTAAAATAATATTATGATCAATTGATATAAAGATTATAATTAGTATATAAGCTATCTTTTTATTTATTATTATTATAGTTTTAAAAAAAATAATTATCTAGTTATCTTTAACACCAAGAACTTTTGTGACTAAGATTTAAATTAATAAAATTTTCTTTTAGTTATTTGCTCTTTTAGCAATTTTACAAAATTTATTATTATAATAGCAGTTATATTTAATAATATATATTTTTATAAGAATAGCTATATTTAGTAACAAAGCTTTATATATATATATACTATATTAGTATTACCTCTGGAAACCCACTAAAAGCTTGCTAGAAGTAAAATTAATAGTATTACTAAAATGACTGAAATGATTTTTTACTACTAGAAGACAAGAAATTTCCTACTAGAAGGCAAATTTACAATGTTGTTACAATAAAGATCTGATTTAGTCTGACTTGATTTATTTTTATTTTAGATTAATATAAACTTTTTGATTTAATTATAATTCAGTTCAAAGATTATTTATAAATCAATAGATTAAATTTATAATCTAAATTTATAATAAAAAATAATTTAAAACTAGTTTTTAAAATAAGAGCTATTCATGATTCAAACCTTTAATCTAAATTCTGATTTTTAATATAATTTATAATAAGAACTAGTTTTAAATTAGTTAAAATATATATATAAACTAGTACAGAATTGGTCTAATCTAAATAAATAAATAGTTGTAAGCAGTTTTAAAATTACAATTTGGACTATTTTAAGACTAAGACTAGACTAAACCAAATAAAACTAATTTTTATAGTATCAGAATAGCCTTATAATAGACTATAATTTATTAGTTCAAGGTTAAACTAGATAATATCATGTATATCTCAGAGTAGAACCAAATCAAAATTAATTAAACTAGACTAGTTTGAATAGTTATTATCTCTATTCTAATATTTAAAGTTTTTACTATATTAATAGAACTATTTTATTAATAAACTGATACAAAACTAGTTATTTTATAAATATTTAATTAAATTAAGTTTGATTTAAATTGATCAAATATTTGATTTGAAACTCAAACTTTGATCTGATTTTGTGAAATACTAAACTTCTAATATATTACCTGTACTATTAAACTAATATAATAGTTATTTAATTTTTTCTTTATTAATTTTTGTTTATATAATAATTATTATCTTAGTATATATTTATTTAAATAAATTTAACTTACTTAATAATTTTGTTTTTCTAAAAATTTGCTTTTAAATATACAAATATACTATATTAATAGTTTAATATATATATTTAAAAATTTGCTTTGAAATATACAAATATACTATATTAGTAGTTTAATATATATATCTAACTTTTAGTATAAATATATGATACAATATTATATTTATTGAATTTATTTTTAAAATATTTAATATATAGATAATTCTAATATATCATATATATATTTTTATTATATATTATTGTATATATATAATTAATTAAAATATAATAATAAAATCAAATCTATTAATATTAATATTTAAAACTTGTTTAAGATCTGCATAATAATATCAAGACAAAAAATAATAATAATAAATATAATATATAATATTATAATTAAAGACTATAAAAATACTATATG